ATCACTTTTTCTCTTTTTTGTATGCGGGTACACGCGTTTTCTGAAAATTTTGTCTGCTTGGGTAACAACTAGTTATTTAATGATGTAAAAATATTTGTTCAAGATCATTCAATGACTTTTCAAAACAATGTTAAAGTAAAATAAATGTTGGTTAAACCTTTAAAATACATACTACAATTTTCACCAGATTTTTTTCTACATGAAAGCATATTATCAAACTTCTTTTTTTCAAGCAATTGTTCATTCACTTCAACGTAAGTATTAACAGTAGATTGTCTGACAACAATAGATAAATAGTATCAATCTTTTACTTGTCTTTGTATGTATCTCTAATGCATATTTTTATGCAACTTCAAATGATACCATCAGATTTTTTGACAGAAAAAAAAGACAGTTCAGTTTTATACTCAATATTTGTTGAAATCTATTAATCTCGGACTCAATGTCGATAAATACTGCTGATGTTCTTAGTAACAATAATTGTTAAGAAAATGTCATTATAGTTTCATGGCACTTATGCAAGATCATGAATCATTGAGTCTATTGATTATTATTTCGGGCACTTAAGTGAATGCAAGTTTTTAGAGAATATAAATATTATGATCGTTTTCTATAATGAATTAAATACAGGTGATGCAAAAAATATTCAAAAAAAAATATATGCAAATACGATTCATGCAGATTTCACTTTTCAGTGATATTTTCATTTATCAAAGTATCACACTCAATTATTTCAGGTAAACATGTCCAACGCCATATTTAAGCAGGCCACGGCCGTTTTTCCAAGAAATCCTGAAGTTTTAGAACCACTTCCAAAACGTCAACGAGCTAGTTCTATTATTAAAGAATTTTCTTTAAATACATCAACACATGGCTTACCTGGTATTGCACGTAGTCAAAGTATACCAAACCGTATATTTTGGTCTATTTCAACACTTGCATTTACTGGTATAATGCTCTACTTTATTGTTCAAGCTATTCGTGCATATTTCGAATATCCTTCACAAACATCTGTATCGATTATTTTTGAATGGCCTCAAGCTTTTCCTGCAGTAACGATTTGTAATTATTCTCCAATACGATATGATAAGTTTATTGGTCCTTTTTTAAACTATACTAATTCATTGAATTTAACAAATACAACAGATACAACTAATTTTACTTTCACACAATCTTTATATGTTCGTGATTTTCTAGTTTATAAACTTAATCAAGGAGATTCTTTGAAGGATTTTGTTTATCCACTTGAGGCAATGATGATGAGCTGTACATATAATGGACTGTCATGTTCTGCAGCTAATTTCACTTGGTTTTTATCACCCACATATGGTATGTGTTATACATTCAATGCTAAATTAAAAAATACCATCAATGATGGTATTAGATACAATGCTGATAATGGAGGAAATGGCGTACTTGAACTACGTCTCTATGCACATCGACATCAATATGTACCCTACCTATCAAATGGTAAGCAAAATATTATGATCTCATAACAGTTCACTTTATTTTTATTATTTCTTCTATATATATGTTATGTCTAGCTGTTGGTATGGTAGCATTAGTTCATGACAATGCACAGGTACCTAATATTGATATGTCAGCAGTGTATCTTTCACCTGGACGACATCATAAATTGGGCTATACAAAAAAAATTAGTTATTTTTTGCCGCCACCTTACACAGAATGTAATGACCAAGTTAGTCTTGGAATGCAAGCTGCTTTTGACGAATATAATGGTCCTAATTATGGATATTCACGATATCAATGCTTTTATGTCTGCATGCAAGCATATATGTAAGTATGTTGAATTCATTGCATAATAATCTTTTAAGAAATTTATTCTTTTCAGTTATCAAACTTGTGGTTGTGGAAATCCTTTTATTTGGAGTGCTCGTTCAATTGTACTTCCAGGTACTAACAAAATAACTAATATATCACTTTGTGAGATAAAAAATCCATGTTCTGGTGAGACAAGAATAAATTTTATGAATTCAAAAGCTATTTGGAGTAGTTATTGTCCTGATTGTACAGAAGAATGTTCTAATATTGATTTCAATATTAAATCATCATCACTTTTGGCACCACCTGAATTTCTATTAGATAGTATAAAAATGTTTGTTGAATCATCAAATATTAGTGTATCTGCAAATTGGTCTACATCAATGATTTCAGAAATTCAATCTAATTATGTTTCTTTGGAAGTTTCTTATGATACAACACGAACTGATCTCTATTCTGAACAACCAACACTTGATCCAGTTGATGTTCTTTCTAATGTTGGTGGACAAACAGGTCTTTGGATTGGTATTAGTTTTTTATCGTTGATGGAAATTGCTGAAATGATCTATCGACTTATACGTTATCAATATTATAATATTCGAAAACCTATACAAAACAAAGTTAGAATACAGGAAACTTATATTTACTGAATTACGGATAATAATAAATTTGAATAAATTCATTTAACTATGAAATAATCTTTTTTAATATTCACACAACGAATAAAATTACGATTCTCCTGCTCTATCTACTGATTTCTTTATTCAAGAACGGATAATATTTTTTCAGTTGATCACTTCTATGCATTGAAAATATGTTAATCAACTTTTTCTAGAAGTTTTATGCTTCGTTTATATTAAAGATTAATATCGTATTTATAAACCTCATCACTTCTTCTAATTTTAACCTCAAATATTTCAATAATCTCTATTAACTATACATAAATCATTTCTACTCAGTTGTAAATTATATTTGTAAATACAAATAGAATTTCTATGAAGTGTTTATCAATTGTCATAGGTATTATTGCATTAATACACTGATCCATTAAGTCAAGCAAGAAATATCCTATAAAGCAATCAAACATATAATGATCATTTTTCCAATGTAGATTAAATAGCATAGTCTGACTGATCAAAATCTTGTTTGTCATTACAAGGAGTGCTTGTTCCTCAATTGCGAATGTATTCCTAAGAAACTGCGTTGTTTTATGGAATTCAAACATATTTTCAAAGAAAATAGTGAATATGAGTTTTAAGTCGAAGTTTTGTCGACCATAGCAACTGAGAACTACAGATGTCAGACGTCTTTCCTACAATTTTTAGCAACGAAAAAAGGCATTGAACGATATTAACGACAAGATTTAGACTTTTTGAGATTATTTCAAAGATTTCGTTGAAACTTGAATGGCTGTAACACAATTACCAAGGTGCTAAATAGTGCAGTTTTTGATTTTTATACCAATAAGGATGTATATTTGAAATATCAACGATAATGGATAACGATGCATTGACTTGCTACAATTATCACATAATCAACATAAAAAGCGCGAACTGATTAAATTATAACTTTCAACACCAATTTTCGTCAGCTCATCAAGATAGATAGTAGCGAATTGAGACTTACTGTAGATATAATTGATCGACAATTGAATACCAACAAGACAAACAGTAGAAAAACGTAGGAAATGCAGAAATAAAAAAATGGATCATCGATACAGACCGTATAATCAAAATGAAGAGTAGACGAACGATCAAACATTTCTGGACGTTCAAACACTAAATACGAATATTTTTCTTTTTGTTTCACATAACATTCAGCGAAACTTTCACAGTGTGTTTGTTTTAAAGAATATTTTTAGCAAGAAAATCAGCAGAACATGAATATGGTGTTTCAATGATTCATAATTAGACTACAAGAGCAGACAGTTTTTTGTGGAGCAGTTCTATGAGACTGTCGAGTACTACGGGTGTTGAACTTCATTTTTTTAATTATTTTTTTGCTGATTAGAATTCAATCATTTTAAAAAACAAAGGCTTTGCAAAAGATTGCGTTTTTGTCTGTTGTTGATGAAATATGTGTTTATTCATTTCTATTTTTGACAGGTTTATTTAGTAAAAAAGAAGCAGTATATTGTAATTAGTAGACCTTTTCTAAAGTTTTTTTATACAAAGGATGTTAGAACCCGTCTAATCGGTTTTAGACGCGAATGCATCCGAGTCTGAAAATTTTTTCTCTGGCAATTGATAACTCTTGGGAAACAATAATAGCGTACTAGAAATTTTTCACTTAATGTCTCTTGTATTAATATGATGAGAGTAAAGACCTCATGTCAGTTTCACATTTCAGGGGCTGTATTGACCATTTTTTTTTAGAAGAAAAATCTTTTTTTTTTATTCGCTCTTTAAAAAAAAAGAGAGAAACTTGAAGCGTTTTATTAATATAAAAAAAAACTAAAAATGATTTTCTTTCAACACTTATTCTCATATGCTCGTACTTGTATGAGAAAGTTACCGAACATAATTGAATATTTCATTATCAAGCCATAACGATCAATGTGCTCGACTTCAATCGTTTATAATT